CTCCGTACTGCTTGTGTTGGACCATTGATGACAAGGAAGTAGGTTTTCCCCCCACTCACAAAAAAACAATAGATAAACCTCGAGACACGTAACACCTGTGTATATCAAATCGGAAGATGGAAAACAACCCCCTGGACAAATCCTGGCTGAGCTGCATGAATTCAAACATGAAGAGTGCATCCCGTGATGGAGCCAGGTGATGGAAATGTCAGAGATCTGGCTTGACAGTGGTACCAATCTTGCTGTCAACATGTCAGAAACCTCTCACTGTTGGATGGGGAGAAGGGGGCCCAGGTGTGACCAGCACACACCACATGTTGTGCTCTGCGAAGAAGAACCAGACCAGGGTGAGGCCAAGGGACCATCTCCAGACTTCATGCATCTCTGGGTTAGTGTGGATGGCCCTCAGCTACCTGGGTGAGACCTCTGCTCTTGGCTGCAGAAGGAGTGGCAGTGGGAAGGACAATTCCCAGCAAGGAGGACCTCTTATTCACAAGCAGAGGAAGAGGAGGCAAGGCAGACCCATTTCTGTTTAAGGTGAAGGTCTGGGTCTTTCTGTTGGCTTTTGCCTGACCCCTAAAGGAGTTGGGTCCATTTACTAAACAAGGGGAAAATTCTCACTTAAAAGAGAGACAGAAATCAAGGAACCATTTACAAGTTTGCATTCTGTTTTGTTGTTGTTGTTGTTTTGTTTTGTTTTGTTTTTAATCATTAATATTTTTTAAATTATTTTATTTTTAGTTTTTTGGTATGATAAGTTAGTCTGCAAGATAGTTTTTGTGACTTGTTTGCCTTACTGGTTAGGGCACTTAGACTTGGCACCAGAGATTGAACAAGGAGCTGCCATGTGCCATACAAGAGGACAAAAAGTGCAAAGCAGCAGCAGCTCTGCCTTGATGCCTGTGAGCAGGTAGAAGGAAACAAACAGTTGGACCAGGTCTCATTTCAGCACACAATGATCAGAGGTATCTGAGGAGAAAGTGAGCATTGAAAGGGGGAGAGGAATGCAGTGCTATGATGTGTGTATATTGTGCCTGTAAAATAATGAAAGAACAAGATTGCTGGCCCAAATATTCCCAGCTGAGACCTGATCCTGAATTGAAATCCAAGGCAGGGGGAATATGCTGGGGCATGGTAAGATCAGTTCCTCCCTGTCCCTCTTTGCAGGAGGAAGCAGACAGAGCCACAACTGCTTTGCATGAGGACACAGAGACCAGCCACAGAGACCAGCCACAGGAAGCAGCTGCAGATAGTGGTGAGGGCATCCTGGCTAGTACCTTGGTGGTGATTCCTAGGATGGGCACGAAAGCTTCAGGGCACTGAGAGCCCACTGGAGATGAATGATAGACCAGTGAAAATGTTGGTGTCTGCCAGCCCTGGTCAACTAACAGTGAGGAAGCTGCAGTGAAACAGGAAGTGGTTAATATTAGCACACTTTCCCAATTCTCAATGGTGGACACAACCAAAACATCCTGGGGAGGAAGGAGCATGCACAGCCAGCAGTTGCCAGCTGTCTCAAGTGTGTTCTCACAGACACTCTTCCTTTATCCCTTCAGTAAAGAAAAACATGTCTCTACTGCACAAAATATTGTGAAGAAATAAGTAAGGTGGCTGGGTGGGCATCTAAAGCAGTCCATCTGCCACATGGGATGGTGAGTTTTTGACTAACACAAGCATGTGCTTTTCCCAAGAAACAAGTCACTTTCTGACTTGTCAGCTGGCTGACAGAGGGCTTACCTTCCTGAAGTGGCCAACCAACCCCTCCAATTTGTCTTTATGATTGGGAAAATCACATTCCACGGGCTCAAAAACATGCACTGCATCTTGGTCCACTGAAGGACTGAAAGAAACCTTGTTTGAGCTGTACCCACCCCACCCAGGGTCTGCATATTGTGCAGGCACGATTTCATATGTCATTCTTCCATTTTAGCATTTGTAGCTTTGGGTGGGAGTCAGGATCACAGATGCCTTAAAATTTCCATAGTAAGCAACCAGTTACATCATTAGATATATAAGCACCTTTTAAATGCTAGCTTTTAGCTCTTAGTCAAGCTATGAAGGCTACAGCTGTGGAAACAGAGGTGACTGGGGCATTCCATGGTGTGGGGCTCTTGTAAAAACAGTCATATAAAGAAAGTACAGCTCTAAAAGAAATCAGGTCAATGAATTCAACACACTCAGGTTGAAATGTCAGTGCTTGGGAGTATAGACTGATGACATGCTTTGAGAAATTACTTTGGTAGTTTTTTCAATGAGACATGAAACAGAGAGTGCGCGAGTAAGCGAGCAAGAAAAAAAAAAAAAACATACCGCAAAGGTATCATCTAGCTACAGCATCAAAAACATAGAAATTATGTCAGTGACTGCATATGTAGCTCTTCTTTTCTCTTTGCCTGTTTTTTGCAGCATTTCTGATATGGAAACCCACTCATTCTCCACAGCCTAATGTAAATTAGTCATACGTTGGCAGACAATTCAGCAGAATGTTTTTCAGGGGACCATTTACCTCAAATGGCAGCAATTATTTGGAAATGTTTTGTGATATTTTGTGTTTTGTAGCAAAATACTTCATTAAAAAATTCAGATCCATTTTTGCAAGAAACCAGCTTTAAGAGCCAGTTTCTTAAACCAGCTTTTAACCACGCTAAAGAGTTGTTGCTGTGTGAAGTGTGGTGGTGTAATGGCATATTTTGTAAGTGTTGCTGTAACATGTGCTAGGTTTCACAGTTTCATTGACTCAGTTAGGGTCAAAGAGTAGTGTAATAGGTACTTCTGATATGCACATCTCCAATGGGGAGACATGACCAGAGAAAAGGGCATTTACAATGAAAGCAACTGAGAAAACCTCTGGGTGATGTACAGGTATATGCAAAGCATTGCAGAGGTGGTGGAGAATAAGGGACTGGGACTGCTGCTACTCTCTTCCTTGGGATTTCAGGAACAAACATGTAATTTCCAATCAACATAATAGTTTATCATGGGCAGACAAAGTAGATAATTCAGATTAGGAGTTCCTGGCTTCTTCAGTCAATTGTCCCTTGTCTGTTCATCACTGTGTAGCTTCCTTACCTTTATGGAAGCATGGGGGATGCTTTCACCAGAAATGGTTCTAAAATCTCTAAAAAGATAAAAGGTTCTAAAAAGATAAACAGCTGAAAGGCTATACTAGGAAACAGGCCAACACAACATAATTCAGGTAAAACTGAATGAGTAAAAACTTAAATGAGTAAAACTGATACAAAATGCTCTGCTCAAGATGATTCTTAATGGAAAGAAGCATTATTTGAATAAACCATATATATATATATATTTCATTTAGTATGCCTTTAATTATCTCAGAAATGTTTTGTTAATAAAATGAAATGTATTGATGCTGCTCTTATGCCTGATGTAAGTTGTTGTTCTCTGTGAATTCTGGTCCTTTTCATGAGACTTTAGACCATGGAATGACATTACTCATTGCCTACTTTCTCTACCCTAAACTAGGACATGTAATCAGATAAATAACCTCACCCTACAAAAGAGAATAAAAGAATGAGCAACCATATATTAACTCACCTGTGCCTCTTGGTGCTTTTTCTAAACTGGTATTTTTGTCATCCAAGCTTCCATCAAAAGAAACACAATTTTTTGATTAAAACTTTCATTTCCATCAGAAAATAAAATATATTTTAACCAGCTTTTCTGAATCCAGTGATTATCCATGAGAGGACACACTCCTTATGCTTCTTCCTAGCAGCCACAGCAGCTCAGCTAGGAGATGGGCGGGCTGCAACAAGCAATGCTGCAGTGAAGCAGAGGAGCACTCTGAGTATGACTGTGCTCCTCCTTCAGAAAATTCCCATTTCATTATAAGAAGAAATCACCTGTGATTCTTTACCATCTTCACATGAACCACAAACTGGTTCCCATCATTTATATTAGTCCCTCTACTTCCCAAGTGCTCTGTTTACCCTTGTAACCCATTTTATCTCCTGAGCCATATTTGCTCATTTGACTAAACCCTGCAGAAGACCTTGGCAGGGCTCTGTCTTCGCTGACTGGTTTGACAGATGTCCAAGTAACAAAACTCTTGATGGATGCCTGTGCTGGGATCATGTTAGTTCAGTGCCTGACACGCCATTGTATGTGAGGAGGGCTGCTTCAGACATGAGGGGGTGAATGGAATCAGGTGGTAGTGAGGCTGAAAATATTAACAAAAAAGATTAAAGGGAAATTGAGTTGAGTTGTGCTACAAAAAGTAATGCTGGAGAGAAATGAAGAGGATGGAAACAAGAAATGGAAATAAGAGAAAACTAGAAAAGCCAAAATGCAGAAGAGGAAGAAATAGGGGCACACACACACACAAACCACACATAGAAATACCAAATATAGAGAAATGTCAGAGGGAGCAAAAAGCCAGGGGCAAACAGAAGAAGGAAAGTTTGAAGAAAATAATGAGAAAAAAAAAAAAAAAGTTATAGTGACAATATAGTGACAACATGGGATGGTAATGTTAAAAAAAAAATAAACAGGTCATAGATTATCCGAGTTGGAAGGGACCCACAAGGATCATTGAGTCCAACTCCTAATATAATAGTTAATCGGGTAATATAAAATACCTGAATGTAAAAATATAGTTTACATTTTGTGGTCTGAAAGAATGATGGGGAGACCAGAACCTCAGCTGGTGGCTAGTGTTTTTAATCAGATTACACTGATATAAATTTAACTGAATGAACGTGAAAGCAAGGAGGAACAGAATACAATATATGTGCTGCATCTCTTTTAGAATCATAGAAACATCCTGAGTCATTCCAGAAGAAACACGTGGATCCTGGAATAAATCATAGAGTGGTTTTGTTTTCCTTATCTTTCAATATTTTCTTTCTTTAATTAGTGGTGGCAGAAAACTAACATGTGGTGAGATTTGAAAAACCACAGTAACCATACTAGCTAAACGAGAGTAAATTTCCTTTCAGAGCTCTACATGTACAAAAGCAAACTACATGTGGGGGCTTCATTTGCATAGCATGCAGATTTTCAAATAGGTGTCTTAAAAAGAAAAAAACCCTTTCCATTCGCCACAGTGTGAAGGTGAAGCACAAAGTGTCTGCAAGGAAGGCTGTCTGGGCTTTGTAACTAGGTCAAAAGAAAATGCACTAAGGAGGTAAGTTGCACCAGCTATCTTTTATTAATTTGGGCATTAACCTAAGTGGATTTAATTTTTCTCTTTCTGAAAGACTGTTATTCCTGCTGAATTTTGACTATATTGCAGATTAAACATAAGATACATTGAAATTGGAAAGAACATGAGTATGGAAAAAAATGAGCAAAGTTTTTGTAGTGGGTAATCTAAAATTCGGATTTATCTTTTAATGAAACAAGCCATCCCATTACATTGAGTCACATTCCATGAAACAGAGTTGATAATATTTAGTTGCTTCTGAGCCTACGCTGTTAGTTTTCAAAATGTGGGCTGGTGTCTGGAAGAGATGCTGTTTACTATTACTAGTAGAAGACGTGCGTGTTTGAATACGGATTACAATCCTCATGAATTTGTTTGGTGATTTGAAGTCACATCCATTTTTATAATACAGAGGGAATTTCTACTTATATCCCTGTACCAACACAGAAAGTGTTCCTACTCTCAATGTGCTTTTTTTAACAGGATTGGGGCCCGTGTTTCAAAATGTCAGATATGGTGAGCAGGAATCAGTGCTTTGCTTCAGATAGCGTTTAGACAGAAAGTTATCTGTAACCAGGATCTAGGCTGACATATATATCTGTTATTACAAAAAGTATATGCACCTTATCTTATCAAAAGTAGATTCCTCACAGCACTTCAAGGACAGGAAAATTAGAAATGAAACTTATATTTCCTTTTCAAGAAAGTATAGAAGATGCCTTATGAGCCTCATCTGTAGCCCAAATCAGAGGTAACATAGGCAATCTCTGTTACTGCATTTTGAAATGTAAATAACTTAGCGAAACAATACAAAATTATTTTATATATATATATATTTTAAAGTAAAATCTCTTCTTAGCAAAGATTAACAGAGTGTCCTGAAGTCCTGAAAACTCATGAGGCTTTGATGGTGAAAATTATTATGAATTATGAAATAAATAGTACAATGAGAAATACTTCATTATTGTGACTGAGGATGTCTCGAAAGAGTCACAGGATCTGGGCATACTGCCAGTCATCTCAATGAACAAAACCAAAACGCCATGCGATAGTTTTACACCTTCCCCGACATTGCTCATGCATCCTCTCCACTCACATTGCGCTGCTCTCTGATGCTAACCAGTGTCTCGGCTCTACCTGCTGCTGGTCTTCCCAGGCTGCTGAAAAGATGGGTGTCCTGCGTGTGCTGTGAGTCACTGAGCCTGGGTGCCTTCAGAACAATGGGGCAGCTGCCAAGGATACACAAACTGTCCCACAGCGGGCCAAAGGCCCACTCAGTGCCGTGTCTTGCTTGTGAAAGCAGCCAGAGGCAGACACCTAGGGTGAAGAAACACCTGCCTTGTGGTGCTTGTCCAGGGATCCGTGTGCAGTTCTCAGGAATCCACCTTTAGCCAAATTTCCTGGGCTGGGGGCTTCCCGCAGCCTGTTAGGAATAACAGCCTCCATGGACCTATCAGATCTGTGCCTGCCTAATCCCTCTTTGAACTCATGTATGTTTTTCCTCTGTGATATCCAGAAGCAAAAAAATCCCCCAATTTTATCAGTGCAGTGTGATGATATCTTACTTTACGTGATAGCTTCACAGGCAGCGATCTGTGTGCTTTCATTGTGTGACTCAGTAAATAATTATTTTGCATTCATACCCTCCCCAGACTCATGTATCATGTCTAAGTAGTCTCTTTTCCAGGCTGACTTTTTCATCTTTCTTCAGCTAGTTGAAACACACTCCTGATTACTATATAGTATTAATCTTGCCTTGCCATATGCCTCCCGAGAGCAAATGAGCAGAACGACATTGTAGTTGTGCTGTGGGGGCCTGGCAGATTTCTACAGAAGTATTAAGTTGATTTCCATTTTCTTATTTCCTGCTTTTCTAATTATTCTTAACAAAAATATCACCCTTTTATGCTGAGTTTTGTGGAGATTGAGATAAAGTAGAACAGCCTCCAGACCATTTAGGACATTATAATATAATACCGATGCATTTGAAAAGAAATGGAAGGTCGTAGGCAACTAGAGAAGGACAGATCTCTAAAAGATGTCCTAGGTACCTAGAGAGAAATGGAGTCACTTGTGGTAGTCAGACTCCAAAACCTCATGCCCATCCCATTGCCACAGATCAGCAAATTTTTGACTGTTGCTGCAACTCAGTTCTCTAACTGCAACTGCTGGCTTGATTTATCAGAATCAGAAAACTGAAAACAGAAATTTAAAATGGAGACAATCTTCATCATCTGCTACAGTTGTTTCTCTTTGCCTTCTATATTAACACATCTCTGAAATTTAACGAGGTCCATGATGACAGGCAATGATTTAGTCTGAACAACAATAAGAAAGCAATGAAGATTTTTTTTCTCAGCAGTAACAGTCAAAGCATTCATGGGTGTGTCAACATACACACACCTAGAGAGGGAAAAAACAAAATCCTCATTTCAGGGTTTTTAAGGATCTATGTCAAATCACATTTTGACATGGTGCAACATTTCTGTTTCATTCTCTGTGTATGATTTGTGGAAAGCAGTACCATACTTCAGTGGCTAGGGAATCACTGGCATTGTGAAATACACTGTTTTGAAAAAAAATATGAGCATAGCATCTCTCATCCTGTATTTCTTTATGTTCATCTTTCTGTTAAGCTAGGCATAGCTTACAAGGCTATCCGGTGTCTCTAATGACAAAACAAGACTCAACTAAATGCTCACAGACAATTTATGAAATAAGAAATTAGAATGTAATTTTAACTTTATTTTTCCTCTGCTAACATGAAAATCTAAATTGCATTCAAATACTAAGGACTGAGGTGGGGGAAAGAATATTTACAGGTTTTTAAATTGAGGAATCATAAAATGAGGTATTTTCACGTCTAGTTACAGCTAACTTTAACAACAGACCTGAACAAATCACAGAACCATAGAATGATTTGGGTTGGAAAAAAACCTTTAAAGATAATCTGGTATGAATTCCCCCATACCTTCCTCCAGATCAGGTTGCTCAAGACCCCATCCAGCCTGACCCTGAACACTTTCAGGAGTTGGACATGTTTGTACCAAGCAGACAAATACAATTATATTTTCCATCTTTATCTGGGTATTTGCTTATTTTATTAGTGGCTCAGGCAAAAGATTTGAATAATGTGCACCTTAATGTATGACAGTTTCTTATTTTTTCTTCAGAAAACAGTTCTTAGTCAGTTTTGTAGTTAATGCTTGCTCTAATTTTGCAGTTCTTCATGACTTTCAGTGCAACCTTTGCGGAAATAGGCCATCATTCAGGAAGTGTTCTGAGGACAGTGACAATTGACACCTTATCTCTTATGATTCTACTGCTAGCAGCTTGTCTATTTAAAAACAATATCACATTATATAGGTAATTGAATTAGTAAATGACTTGCCTCCAGCTTGCATGTCTCCAGCACAGATAAGGTTAAGTATTTTCCTTTACGTAAGAAAGCAGGTTATTGTTATTTCTTGACAGGAGGAAGTGGTAATAATTTCAATTGAACTCTGTACCTTTGACTAATGCTGTCTATTGAGGCTGATTGTAAATGTGCTTGAGACAGCCACAAAAGAATGTAACGGAATCACACACCCTCTTCGATCTGTTCTTCTGACCATTTTCAAATCTGGTAAGTACTAACATAAGATAGTTTATCTGTAATGTGTGGTGAATGTACTAAATCACATGCATGTCTAGGAGTGTGCTTACAATGGTAGGTAATGCTTAAAAAATAATTATTGTTTTCCTCCAAGTGCTGAGAATTTTTTTCCTTATAGAAATCTGTCTTTTTCCTGAGGTTTTTCTTTGGTTCGTCTTTTGCTTGTAGAATTCCAAACACTTTGCACTGAAGAATGCATTTTAGTCCTCTTTTTGAGTTTTTACATACTGCTTTCATAGTGAAAAGAAATGTTAATGTAGATAGAATGGAAAATATTAGGGTAAAAAATACAAGGCTTATATGACATTTAATATGCAGAACCTGAGTGTGTTTGTGTACATGTGCATAGACGTGCCAATATGCAATATACAAAGAATATTAGAACATACTCAACCCTTACACATGTGGAAATTTATTTTTGATAATTGCCTAATACATTAGTGCTAAATAAAGCCATAAATATGCAGATTATAAATTATAAAACTGCCTATTGTAAGACTGTTGGAGAGATTTAATTTATGGTGGGGTAAAGTGCTTAAAGAGGTTCTGATTCACCCTCCTTTGCAGCCAGTGCACCTTCCTAATAACTCCAGTGAATGCTGTTTCAAAATCATAAAAGGAAATCAGCTCAAGAGATTTAAATCAGGTCCTAAATCTGATCTTTGCTATTCTGGTTTCAGTTTGAATCTTTATCTACTGCTCTTGTAGCAACCAGCCTCGGGAAGCTTTTGCTGGGCAGTGGAAGTACTTTTGTGAAGAAATGTGTGACTGCTGGTGTCCTTGTGAATTTCTGTATCACTAGAGAAAGCATGAAGCTCTCCTGTGCTCAGTAGCTTTCTGCTGAGCACTTCTGAGGAGCAGTGAGCCTTTCTTCAGTGCTATTCTGAAGAGGTGTCCTTACAGACTCTAAGAAACACTTGTACTTCCCTTCTTCAATTGTGTTCACCCTGCCTTCTTCTCTGTACACTTTATACTAATGTTTAAGAGTTACTTTGGCAACATGGAATATGGAGCACATTTTTTTTTAGAGAGAATATATACCATCAGGCTCTTTGTATGCTACAACCACGTACATCCTAGAAAGATATTTGTCATTCCTTTTTTTTTTTTTTTTTTTTTCCAACAATAAAATAGCAGTTCCTAAAATAATAACCTAGAATAACCTAGACAGGTATCCATTTAGTGCTGACTGAGGAGTTACTGTGCTGACAGCCTGGTGCAAAGGGTAACAGGGACACCGAGAAGGGGGGGGGGTGTCTGCCTGGTGGGGGGCAGAGGAGGGTAAAGCAGCAGATGGAGACTAGGGGTGCTCAGAGAACACAGGCCAGGAACCACAGCCCTAGGTGAACTGTACAGCATCACTGCTTGCTTTATACACCTTTGCACTTCAGAGAGACACTTTAAATTGTTAAAGTTTGCTTCAGAAAGCATTCAAGACTTTCAGGCTGTCGTACACCAGCAGCTTTTAAAAATCAGCTTTGAAACGGTGGCAGAGGAAGCTGGAGTGGTGGGTGAAGGTTTCTTTAAAGGAAAGGAAAGCCAGAGAAGCTGTGATGCTTAGATAACATCATATTGTATGGGTTTCTACCCATCTGAAGACCTGCAATGTGAGCCAGCCCCCTCACATGAGTCACACAGAGTCTGATCCTCCTTACGCCTTTGGACAGTGAGGAGTCTTTAGTTCCTTCCCTCCCCCAGCTTCCTTCTAATGTCTGTACTGCATCTGCCCCACTTTTACAGATTATCAGTCTCTCCCTTTTTCAAAACTCAGGTAATTCCCAAACAGGAAGGGTAAATATAGACTTAAGATTGACCCACGTATACTTCCTAATTAGCAACACAACTAGTAAAAAGCAGAGAAACTCTGAATTAAACTGACATTCACACTCTTGGCAAATAAAGGGCCAGTCCCTGCTGGTATGGGCAGTTCTCATGGAGCAGGTAAGGGAAAGGACGGGAAGACTGATTTCACGCAGGGGAATGCTGAGGAGCTAAATCTCCTGCCCCTGGGCTCCTGTGTGAGGTTAAGCGAGTCATTTAAATCCAGCTTTGTGCATGTGGCCACCAATGGTATGTTCCCCATTTTATCCACCTGTGTCTTCAGACCCTGTGGTCTGATATGCAGAAGTCTGAGCCTCCCTACAACCAGAGTCAATGGATTTAGTAATTTACGTAACTGAAGTACTGTACTGCATAATGCTAGGCACTACTAAAAGTGATGTTGGGGTGGGGGACAAGTGCCTCGAACTGAACATCCCAAGTGAATACTTACAGTAATTACAGTAATGACTCAGTGCTCTAGTTCCTTCTCTGTAAAACAAAGATCATGCAAAAAAAAAAAAAATAAAATAAATGGTGCATTATTATTACAGAATATAGTAAGGTGCTGCTGTTTTACTGTTCTATATACATCTCAATACACTAATTTACATTGTCATACAAAGTTTTTGAAAGTAGAATGTCATTTGTTCATATTTCTTGTGGTGCAAGGTCAATGTGAACTGAGAATCACATATTCTCATGTATCGCTTATTAATTCTCTCTGAATAAACAATCCGTATGTAAGACTGTACTCATAATCATACCCATACAAACCATCCACCCTCCCAGCTGCACAAAGTGCTGCAGTGATGTGTGATTTGTTGAGATGCTATCTTGTTGATATATCTAAAGTGAGATGATTCTTTGAATAACTTGTATTTCCAGTTGTTTTCCTACTTGTCCACATTTCCTGTGCTGCCTTCCCCATCAAACTCTTTCTTTTTTTTTTCTTTTTTTCTTTTTTTTTTTTCATTTTCAGAAGTCCTTGGAAAGCATTTTGTTCTTCTTCTCCACACATATATATATATAACCTTTTCAGAAGTGTACTGGCAAAATGAATATCGTAAGTACTCAATTAACATACTACATCAGTAGATAATAAAGCAATGAACCTGACAGTCCCAGCTCTTTGAGGCTGCTGGTCCAACTGCCATAATTTCAGGAGTGACATAATTTCAGGAGTGACAGTGAAAATGCATGCCGTTTCTTAGATTTGTTACCTCCTCATTTAACAACCAGTCTGGTGTCTGCATTGCAAGGAACTGCATCTCAGGCTAGCTATCCCAGAATTTAGATTCTTCTGTGATGGCAAATTATTCCTTTCTGCATAATGTGTTTAGGGATGGAATCCTTTGGGCCATCCCAAAAGATTATCTCCATGTTTATAGTTTAATTAAGATTTTGTGAACTTCACTAGTTAGTTCTTTTATGTGTGCTCTGCAGTGTTAAACACATTTGTAATTTGGGCGGGTGGAAACTGTAAAACAGGTAGTACTGGAGGAAACAACGCTACTATGGACTGTCTTAAGAGAAACTTGATATGGGCTTGAAGCTGAGGGGTAGGAAGTGCAGGACAGAAATGTTACAGTTACTATAAAGGAAATGTCACTTCCATTTCAAATCAGCAAAGCCATTACTATATCGTATTTGTATAGTGTTGTTACCTATCATCTTTCAATTATATAGAAATTGAGGAGATTTAAAGTGTGATTTAACTTGTGATCTTCTTTTTTTACAGACAGAGTCTAGTGTCACAGAGTATATGTATGATTCAGACTATCCTTCTCAAATTGCACAACCCTGCTCTAAGGGGGAAGTGAGGACCTTCACAAAAGCATTTCTACCAGTTGCATACTCGTTGATTTGTATCATCGGCCTAGTTGGTAACATCTTTGTAGTGATGACCTTTGCTTTATATGAAAGAACCAAGTCCATGACAGATGTTTACCTCTTCAACATGGCCATCGCAGACATACTGTTTGTTCTCACCCTCCCACTGTGGGCAGTGAACTATGCTGCTGACAAATGGATTTTCGGTAATTTCATTTGCAAAATGGCCAGAGGTATCTATGCGATCAACTTCAGCTGTGGCATGCTGCTTTTGGCCTTTATCAGTGTGGACCGGTACATTGCAATCGTACAGGCAACAAAGTCATTTAAACTAAGGGCAAGAACACTTGCATACAGTAAACTGATTTGTTTGGCTGTGTGGGTATCATCAATTTTAATTTCCAGTTCCTCTTTTCTATACAGTGAAAGTTACAACTTCTCTGTCAACGAAACCAAAAATATTTGTGATCACAGATTTGACAAAATGGCCGAAAGCACTATGCTGAAATCACTGCTGTTGTGTCTACAAGTTGGATTTGGATTTTTTTTACCTTTCATATTTATGTTTTTTTGCTATACATTCATAATCAAATCCTTGCAACAAGCACAGAATTCGAAGAGAAACAAAGCAATTCGTGTGATTGTATTAATTGTAGCTGTTTTCCTAGTTTGCCAGGTACCCTATAACATTGTTCTTCTTGTGGCAGCTGTAAATATGGGTAAGATGGACAAATCTTGTGACTCTGAAAAGGCAATGGCCTATGCAAAATACACCACTGAAGCCATAGCATTTTTACACTGTTGCCTGAACCCTGTGCTCTATGCATTTATTGGAGTGAAGTTTAGAAGTTACTTTGTGAAGATAATGAAGGACTTATGGTGCATGAGACACAAGAAATACAATAAACGTGGTTCAAGGACAAATTCTGATATTTATCATTCAAGACAGACTAGTGAAATTCTGACTGACAATGCATCTTCTTTTACAATATAATACAATTTGAAAAATATTATTACTGAAGGACTCTGCTCACCAAGCAACCCAAACCAGCCTCACTATGCCTGTGGTAGCCAGTCTTTTGGGCTTCTCTGCACCTCAAATGGAGCTCTCATGACCTACAACTCCTTTCAGGAAAACAATTAAGATAAAATAACAACCTGTCCTGTGGAAAACTGAAGTCTTGTTCACCTCTCTTAACGTTCACGTTCTTCTAAAGTGCACTCTTGTGAATTTTACAGAGGAATATTTATTGTTTTTAATAATAATAATTAATAAAAAACAAGTGTCTTCTCTGTTGTACATCACTGAAATATCTCAGAAGTACTAAGTAAATGAATCAGTCTATGTCTGGCTCATTCTACTTACATTTACGTTGTTGCTATTAACTGTTTTTACCTGGAAATCTTATTTAAGTGTAGGTCTCCATGGTGCTTTTGCTGCAGACAGCTCATTTTATAACACCAACCTAAAATATGGCATTTTGAGCTAAGTATGGCAAGCAGAGCTAACATAGAAATGAAGAAACAGGCTCAAGGATTCTGGAATAGGTGGGCTTAGGTGTCAGGTCTCATAAATCTTTGCACAGTTCTGTGATCCACCTGCTCATTGGGAATTGCAGAAGGTTACACCAAAGCTGAGACTGGTTAAAGCCAACAGAGACGTGCCTACAACGTTACAATAAATAAATAACACAAAATAAAGAGAGCTTTGCAACATGCACAGAAAGGTTTTCTGAAATCTGCTTAGACTATTTTCTGAACAGAGAAAGCAGCTTTATCTGAGAGATTCTTCCCTTCATTTGGCACTAAATTCCAGTTCTGCCTTCAGTTGAAGCTGTTCAGCTTGTAAACATTTTTCTGTGTTGTTGTTTCTTTATGTTGTTATTTTTTTCTTTTTAGCTGAAATTCACACTCCACTTTCTAGAAGCTAGAAAAATGAACAGAAATGTAATTATTCAAATTCCAACTCTCTCTCTCTCTTTTTTTTTTTTTTTTTTTTGACTAGATTTGTCAAAAAACATGCATTTCTTTGTATTTCGCTATTGTTCACAAAGTTTCCTTAGGAAGAGATTTACTATTCCTAAGTATGTATGTATGAAATTTATTCTGTTAGCTCCAAAATTATTAAGGTCTATGCCTAGAAATAAAACCAGAATCTGACTTAATTCAGCCAAAATTTTTACTGCGTCAACATTTATCTCACTCTGCATATAAGGATATTTCTAATAAATTCAATTAGTTTTACGCAGTAAACCCTCAGTGGAACTTGTGTTCACCACCTTGTAACTGTGCGGGATGTGGAAAGGTAGAGAGGAACAGGATCTGATGCATTTTATAGAGCTGGAGGGCAGAGGGGCAGAGCGGGACGTAGGAGAGGACAAGAACACATGTGCTACCTGCTTGCAATCTGCTGAAGTTCCTACCACAAATTAATGCAATGGGCAGATCACAGTTTGCCTTGGATGTCTTCTTTTATACTCATGGCTGAGGAGACAGAGAAAGAAGTAACCACATCTTTCAGTGGCAATCCAAAGGGCCAAGAGAGGCAGTGCTGGAGCTGAAGAAGATTTGAGGAAGGGTGTTGATATGGTACGACTTGAAATTGGTACTGCTTGTGCTGGTGTAATCCGTCCTTGTTTACAGTACACTGTGAGGTTCTTAATATCAGTGTCAGATGCGATAAAGATTGTATGCATTTATCATCACTGAATAGTAACTTAGGCAAGAATATAATGCAAAATAATGTAAATGCGTATGTGTGCATTTGCTGTACGATTTTCTGCATGAGAATTCAACAAATAAAAAATGTTACCGAAAAGGAAAGAACAGCCTCATCTCTAAGTTTCTTGCTACACTTATTACCTTGAAAATTCTCTTAATCAGTGCAAAATCTCTCATGCCTGAGGACAGCATGTCACCCTCAGGATCTGGATCAGGGACCTATGCCCTGCTGCACTGACTTAAACCCACCCGGCACCACAACAGCTCTCAGGCGGACCCCTGTGAGGCCTGAGCAAAGCCTGCAGCCTCCTGTAGTCCCTGCAGCCACGTCTGCAGGGCTTGTCATCAGCCCCTGACAACCTTGGTAAAAAAATCACTTGAGGTACAGCTGAAACCGTGAATGATGTCCCCATCTCTGGGACAAATGGGGTGAGAGGGTGGGAGGAGCTCACAAGAGGCTGCTGAGCAGGTAGAAATGGGGCTCCAACCAGTGGGGAACAGGCTTGGTGTCCTTACAGTTTTTACTTGGATTTGGTAGGCAACTACAGAAGTGTGGGTTGTTAAACATTTAATTTACACATAATATCTCCTTAATTTGTGTGTGTGAGAAAGAAATCTACTCTCAGATAAAAGATTGAGACCAGTTCAGAGTGAAAGCATGGGAAGGGCAGAACCCAACTGCTAGGCATTGGGTAGCTGATGGTCAGCAGATGTCACTGGTGATCCTCCACCTCCAGACATTCAGAGTCTTTTGTTCAATGAGCACATCAGCAGAACTGGCAGGTAAGCTCAGGTTGGTGCTGGGAGTTTAAGGAATGAAAAGGGCATAGATTTATAGGAAAGTGGGTGGTATTCTCACTGCAGAATAACTTTTCAGAGCTTGCTATGGATGCTGTTTTTTACTAAAATAACGTTGTGGTAGCTGTGCAGTACACTGCACAGTCAATACATGGTGAAAAATTATTTTGTGTTGCATGTATTTCAGCAGTTATTTTTGAAGAAAAAAATAATAGTTTTTAGATGGATCTTCATTTTCTATTATGTTTAAAGACAGAAGAATACATACTGTGTTGTGTCAAGGCATAGACATAGAAAATGCAGCTGATAAGTTTTGACAAGACAATTCATATCCTACTTCAGCTGGAGGCCGGGGTTGGGCTGTGGTATTGGTTGCATGTACAAATTCTTTACTTGTGAGTGGATTTCATTCTGCTTTTGGTTGCTACATGGGGGCTTTGCCTGACAGTTCTCATTCAAGTGGTTCAGAAGGAGGTAGTCATCTGTGCGTAAAATAAATCTTTAACATCTCAGTGTAGACAGCCTAACTAAATCTGTTTTCTGACACATATCTTGAAAACTGACCTGACTTACTGACCAGCTTCCCATAAAGAGTGTCAGTTTTCTTCCCATGATATTTAAATTCTGTTTGCTAATTTTTCTGTTGATATATTCATTTTCTTAAAAGAGTGATCACTATAAGCTAGTGAACCTGCAAAAGAGTCATACTGAACAGAGGAGACGAAAGTCATTTGGGCCTTGCTACTTGGAAGGACAGGCAGAGGAAAGAAGGTGAAAATTTTGTGCAAAGAGAGCTAATGGTTAGAGATTATGGGTAGAAACTGAAGAGAAACAGGACAAAACAGTCTGGAGAGGAACTTTCTTTTTTTTTTTTATAGAAGGTTATTGGTAACTGATGATTAAGTACATAACAGGTGTAACTGATAACTCTACTTTTAATCTTTGTAGGGCAATCTTACTGTGTAGAATTGGGAAAAATTGGGGAATTGCCAGTTTTACTGATAAAAGTACTATGAAAATGGTATTTGAGGTTTTGAGAACTTGGAATGAATTTAAAAAATAGATTTTGATTCAGTGAAAATCATCAAGTTTTCAAAATGTCAAAACAGTATATCTCATGAAACATCTAAAATGTGTTGATGTTTCCGGTTAGTTTTCAGATACTGTAATTAAAACCAAGGAAATGATTTCACAAAACCACTGAAAGAATCTCATAATCTGTTTTTTCGGCTGTTGCTGAGCAACCAGGATATTCCCACCACCACCCACCTGTGGGTTTGGAGCTCATACCCTCTTGAAAGGAGCCCATGCAAAGTACAGATCCCCTTCCTTCTCCTACACCCCCCCAAAAAAAAATAAAAAGAGGATGCTTCACCCTTAAAGTGTGCTACGCGTATATCTCTAATTCTCTTCTGGGTAGTGTAGTTGCAGGTCCTTCAGGCTGAAGAAGGAATTAAATAACATCTCCTCTTGTGGACAAATGACATAACCTGATGGTAAAGATGTGACCACTAAGCAAGTAGTTGGTCTCTGACAGCTTTGAACAGAACTAAGTTCCTTTTATTACAAATTCCTTAAAAAAAATTCTCCATTTTTTGTTGAATGAACTATATTATCTAACCTGAGTTGAAAATTGTCTAGGTTTTACATAGTCAAAAAAAAAAAAAAAAAAAAAAAAAAAAAAAAAGACCAATTCATTTAAAAGCTATTTTAATAGTGAAAGTTTTTATTGACCAATCAGGATCCTTTCCCTATCAAACTGAAAAACTTATTGCTTGTGCAATTTCATAACTGAAATCTGTAGTTTTTTTTGTTTTATTTTATTTTTTGATTTATTGTATTACGTAACTCAATTGTATATCCTAATGCATGACTCATATTTTTAAAGAAATCATCCTCTTCCATTTATTTTTCATTGTTTTTTAATGAGAAATATGTGATGAATTACTGTTATCAATTTGATCTATATATAAAGACAAGTTAAAACAATTAAATCAACATTCTTCTATCAAAATGTTTTAAAGCTCTTATTCAGTTGTTATAGTTTTGCCATTCCTAAACAATTATTATAGTTCATACAAAATAATTTAATTAATATATATTCAATCTGTAGTAACTGGAATTTATTTATAAACCTATTTCACTGAGAATTAGGGGAAATAGAGAATATTCAGCTCCTTTCATAAGAAACAAGGGAGTAAGAGATGAAGATTGGAGAAAGAGCTTTTTTTCAAAATAGAAAATATTTGTGCTCTTGATTTATATGAACAATAGATAGCCCTGTTGTTTTAGCACAGAACATGGTAGATTTAGTTATGATGTGTTTGTGCTTAATTTTATTTGGTAAGTAGGAATTATAAAGAAAAAAACCTACCTAATTACCAGAAATTTGTTGTCGGTTTTGTTGATTATTTGTTTATTTGTTTGATGTTGTTTGTTTCTTAGCCTGGATTGGATTATCCAGCTATGGCTTGGTTGTGATATCTGGTCCCATTTCTGAAAAAAATTTACAGACATACGGAGCCGTTAAAGTAGTTATAACTGTAACTCAACTTGCTGTCCTTGATTTTATTTGTTCATCTTTTGTTAGTACTCTGTTTTTAATCTATGGACATCTTGTAGTTATCAGATCAAGTTGTGCTTCTATTCCAGGTAATTTGTTAATATTTTTTACTAGGATCAAGCTCTTAGCAAAATATTATTATTAAAACATTTCTAGGTTCTGTCTTCCATTAAAAATTACAGAATGGTAGAGAAAAAAGGAGCACTAAGATATAGAAAAATTAGAGTTTGTTAGAAAGCATAAATGAAAGATGTGTATACTATAATTATATAATGAAGAATATATGCACATATATTCTTTACCTTATGGCTTTCCTCAAACCTATGTTTTGTCATTGAACTGTAATTGTGTGATATTTTTAAATATTCTTTCAACCAGTACACCCCTCCCTACAGAGTAGCTGCTGATGAGATTTTCTTTTATCATCTCTGTTTTGTTTTGTTTTTCCCATTATAAAGACATCAAATGAATCTTTGTTTCATTCTGTAAGGGTGTTTATGGACAAATACTTCCTGGCAAAACAACTGTGGAAGAAACTGCTTGCCCTGAATGTCTTTTTACAAGTTTCAGAGTCCTAGGTGAGACTCAATAACTCACTCTGAATTCTCCTAACACATTTTAGCAGTGTTTTACCTGGGTTTTCGGTTAATTGTGACATGGCTGAGGGGCACAAGTGACCAAAGGGAGGGGGCCACTTTTAAAACCCTTGCTATGCCCCCAGATAATCCCAGAAAATAGTACAGGCTTTAGGAAGAGAGTCATGTAAACAACTGGAATAAATCCTGAAGCTTCTCATCAGTTCTGCATTCTGCAGCCTTTTGTTTTTGTTTTTGTTTGTAGAAAGCTCCATGAATAATTTTTGTCAGATTTTCAAAGCTAGGTGATAGTAGTGCTTGATTGATCTTGGTGCTGAACACCAAGAAGTGTTCCTCCATTATGATCTCAGTAAGAAAGGCACTCAGACACTATAAGGTGTTATTTAAATGCTATTTTATTAGAGCTGTCAACATTTATCCTTAGCCAAAACGTTTTCCTTTGGAGTTAACTGCCATGTAACATGTAGCAGTGTTAAAGTTTTTTATTCCAAATAATCTACAGATTTCAAGGTTAGTGTGAAATGTTGCACACATTTCTCCAATAAAATTAGAAATAATGCTTCCAGTAAAACCACTGGTATATTTTATCTGCACAACAGAAAAACAACAAACCAAACTGTTTAAAGAGTGAATTGAAGGATAGAATTAATGGAGATTAAGAAGGATGCATTTTACAAATGACAAAGCCTGAAAATTTTGCCAGTGGCTTTCGAAGCACAGGTTTAGCATGAACTATCTAAAATTATTTCAAATAAGAAATCCCTAGCTGCACCTAAAAAAAAGATCTTCAAAAATTATTTGTTATAAAGGGATCTATATGATATATTTACAAATGAGAACTCTGAATAACTTACACAATTCAGTGGATAATGCAGCAAACGTTATGGCACACATTTACCCTGCTTTGAAGGGAGAGCTGTACTAGGCAGCTCAACAAACGCAACCTGACTTTACTGTGGAGAACAAAATGAGCAATTTGTTTAGCTGTCTTACGTTTGGAAAAACGCATAACATGAAGAACACCAATGATTTTACATTAACTGGGCATTGGGATTTTCTTAGTGAGTCAGGTCCTTTTTAATATAGTGTTTATTTTTGATGGCTTATGTAGTTTTTGCATCTTTCTGTTGGTTTCACAATGTTTCCCT